AGGGGTGTGACGTGGGTCATGCAGATGGCCTGCCAGAACCAATGAGCAGTTCGACGGCTGCACCAACCATGAGTGCAGGAGCCTGATCATCCATAGGCTGCGGCCCCCCCCGCGTTACACTGGACAGGCGGAGGAGCATGTGAGGGTTCGCCATGGGCCCCCATTCGTGGGCGAAGTTCCGGACTCAGTCTCCAGCCTTCTTCACCCCCGTCCCGCAAAACTCATCGTCGATCTCCCTAGGCCGACATCGCGCTCCGGAAACTTGACGGTGCTCAACGGCAAGCGGCAGGGGCAGGCCCGACCGAGAGCCGAGTTCATGCCACCACATGGGGAGAGGAGAGACTTGGCAATCGATGTTCCCGATCCGGCCCCGCACCATCCACCGATGAGCCCTTAGCTGTGACCAACAACCGACGGTCGACCATGGACGACGGTTCCTATGACGATGCCGAGGAACCCTACACCGTGCCCGCCGCGCCCGCCTTTGCCCTCAGGCCCTTGAACACTGCTGCGGAGAAAGTGGTCGGCCATCCCAACAACGGCCACCTGCGCTATCGAATCGACAATAATACCATCGGTCTCTGGGTAGACCTCTCAGATCCAGACAAGATCTTTACGCTAGGGCGAGGTAATACCGACATTTACTTGCCCGACAAGACGTCGAGCAGCAAAGGCTCGCCTCGCATCTCGGACCTCCACGCGTCGTTCCAGGTAGTTCCCGAGACGGGCGCTGTCCTGCTTTTCGATCACTCCGATAATGGCACCGTCGAGCCCCTCCCACGCGACCAGCACTACACGGTCAAGTTCCGGTCCAACGCCAAATCCGTCCTTGTCGCGCGAGGCGTCAACTCCCGCATTGCCTTCGGCAAGGATCAGTGGTACCAGTTCGACATCCAATGGCACTCGGACGGGCTATACCGGTTTTCGAAGCACGATCCATACACCATGGGCCCCAGAAACTCGCGGCACAAGAAGTACCTTCTCGGAGGGGAAGTGGGTGCAGGCTCGTACGGTACGGTGTGGTGGGCGTTGGATGCCACCAACGGGAAGGTCGTAGCCGTCAAAAAGTTCCATAAGCTGTCGGGAAAGAACCTCGAGTTTGCGACCAGAGAAATGACCAACCTGTTCAAGATCAACCGAGACGATTCGATAAAACACGTGAGTCTTATATTGTTAATCTCTTCGTTCGCCGCGTCGTCTGCTGCTCACCGGCTCCCTTTAACAGGAACACATCCTCAAGATCCTCGACTGCGCCGGCGGCGGGAAAGGCGACGACTGGGGCGAGATCTTCATGCCACTGATGCAGGGTAATCTGAAGACATTAGTTGAGAAAATGGTCGTGCCGGACGAACATCTGTCCGATATCGTTCTGCGTCAGATGCTCCTTGCGCTGCAGTGCATCGCGGAGCACAAGATCATCCACCGCGACGTCAAGCCGGAAAACATCCTCTGGGAGTACGACGAGACCGGCAACTACCGCTTCTGTCTGGGCGACTTTGGCCTGTCGAATGACCCGAGCTTAGCCAGGACGGCGGCGGGCACTGAGCCCTTCATGGCGCCCGAAGTGTTTCACCGGCAAAAGCAAACCACCAAGGTGGACATCTGGTCGCTGTTCGCCACCATCGTTTGGACGCGGACTCCCGAGTTTCGACGGCAATGCTCGCAGCTCCATGTTCCCGACCTCCACGCGTGGCTTGTTCAGTTTTCGAAGCTCGAGCAGTACGCACACATCCGGGGAATGGCAAGCTGGGAGCCCAAGAAACGTCCGTCGGCAAAGAAGCAGCTTGCCATCCTCGACGGCCAGGTCGACGAGTACAGGAGTATGGGAAGCTACGGTGGAAACAGCGAGGACGAGGTTAGCGAAGATTTAAATGCTCGGTTTACCAACACGTTGAGTCTTCAGGACACGCCCGGGTTGATGTACGGATCCGGCAGCTCAGACGCAGTCACGTCGCCGGAGCTCGCCTACTACGAGCCCTACGCCAGCGGGATTCTGGAGGACTATTACGGCACCCAGGCCGGGCTGAGCAAGAGATACATGCCGCCGTCTCCCAACCCGGCGGATGCTCCACGACAGGGGGTATGTTTTCCCATCACCCCGTGCTGACTGCATATCTGCTTTCGTTTGGCAGTGCCGACTGACTGACGAGGGTGTACAGGCATGGGTCATGCCCTACGAGCCTCCCTACGGGCCGCCCGACGGCTCCGAGGGAAGCGGGACGGCCGTACCCGACACGTGGACGGCCACGGCTCCCACGGTCAATGCGGATGACGAATTGACCGACGACGAGCCCTCGAGGAGACATAAAGGAAAAAGCAGGGTGTAAATTCATCCGCGTCCCTGGCCATAACGTTTAGTATTTTGTTTGCGCATCTCATCTCTTACTGGCATGGTGAATGATATTGATCACTTTTGGGCGCATCTCTATACGCTGGAGTGTCGCTTTTTGGCACATCTCGGCTACTACCCGGGTACAGCATTGCGGCTAGACTGGGAGGGGGTGAAGAGGAGGAATACTTGAATACGTTTCTGTTGGTTGAGAAGGTTGGATGCCAGTTCATTTTACGTCAGAGCAGACTGCTGTTACATCAAGGATGCATAGGAGCCGAGTCTCAGGGCCGATTTTGGGGATCTTGGTGCGGTTCAGGTTGGTGGGTCATCGCAAGGAGGGTGACCAGAACGGGAGCCCCTGAAGGTCGTCGGAAGGGACGCATTGTTTATGTCGCTACGTTTTATATGATGAAGAAGAAGCGCGACTTCTGGCCACCGTTTCTCGTGATTGTCTCTTTTGGCTCACGTTGGAGGTTGACAGATCTTGCATCCCGCCTCCCATCTGAGTCCTGACTGCCGAGACAGAGGCCGCCGACATGATCAATGCACGGGAACGCTTCCCAAATGAGATGAGAAGGGCACCGCGTCAAAACCGGTTACAACGCAGTAATCGTTCCAAATAGGCAGCAACAATGAGTACAAAGTCATCAAGCAATCGGGCAGTACGCGGAGATACGAGGCTGGACCGGAGCCCCCACAGCACAAGAAAAGTGGGGAGAGGGCATGCGGAAGCCGAAACCGGCTCCGAGAGCCCGGGGCGGAGCGCCGAAGTATTTTCTTTTCCTTCCCATCATTGTCTCCGAGGTGTGATCGGCGGGCTGCATCTATACGTCAACCGCCGACAGGTCTCACCCTGACCGACTCGTCCCTCTTGGCATCATCATCATCATCGTCCATCTCCTCTCAACAGACCGAGTTCAGCTTGAGGTATATCCGTCCCCCTCCCCAAACCGGCTCTCAACGAAACCAAACCACCCTCCTCCGTATCATATTACTTTATTCCATTCCACCCACCATGCTCACCCTCCACCACCTCTTCACAACTCTCCTCTCCGAATCCGGCCTCCCCTCCGTCTCCTCCACCGGCCGCGACGCCATCCTCATCCTCCTCGCCCGCGCCTGCCGCATGTTCGCCTACGGCGCCAGCTCGCTCGTGCTCGCCCTCTTCTTCGCCGCCCTCCACGTGTCTGACGCCCGCATCGGCCTGTTCATGACCCTCACCCTCGCCGGCGACGTAATCCTGAGTCTACTATGCGCGGTGATCGCCGACCGCGTGGGACGGCGGCGCATGCTCTTTCTCGGGTCATGTCTGATGATTGTTTCCGGGGCCGTCTTTGCCCTGAGTGAGGAGTACTGGGTGTTACTTGGTGCCGCGGTGGTTGGGGTGGTTAGTGCGACGGGCGGGGACTTTGGGCCGTTTAGGGCGGTGGAGGAGAGTATCCTGAGTGAGCTGACCGGCCCGGAGACCAGGGCGGATGTGTTGAGCTGGTATGTCACGCTGGCGAGTGCCGGATCGGCGGTTGGGACGGAGATGAGTGGGCGGATTGTGGAGGCGCTGAGGGCGAGGGAGGGGTGGACGTTGGTGGATGCGTATCATGGCTGTTTTGGGCTGTACGCGGTGATGGGGGTGGTGAATTTGGCGTGTGCTGCGATGCTGTCGGAGAGGTGTGAGTTGAGGACGGGGAGGGAGGAAGGGGCAGGAGAGGGAGAGACGGCGCCGCTGATCGAGGAGTCGGATGACGAGCAGGGGAGAGGTGAGGGGAAGAAGAAAACGCGGACAAGCTGGGTCGCGCAGATATCCCGCGAGACGCTCTCCATCGTGGCCGTCCTCTGGTTCCTGCTCATGGTGGACTCGCTGGCCGATGGCATGGCCAACATGTCGCTGACGACCTACTACATGGACCGGAAGTTCGGCCTTCCCAAGTCGGCGCTCGGCGACATCGTCTCGGTGGCTTACTTCCTCTCGTCGCTCTCCAGCATCTTTGCCGGACCCCTGGCGAGACACATCGGGCTGGTCAACACCATGGTCTTCACGCACATCCCCTCGTCGACGGCGGTCCTGCTGTTCCCGCTGGCGCAGAGCGTGCCGCTCACCTTCGCGCTGCTGCTGCTGCGGGTCGGGCTCAACAACATGGACCAGGCGCCGCGGGCCGCGCTGATTGCGGCCGTGGTGCGCCCGGAAGAGCGCACGGCTGTCATGGGCATCACCGGCATGCTGCGCACGCTTGCTTCGACCACGGGGCCGAGCATCACGGGTGTCTTGGCGGGCAACGGCCGGTTCTGGATCGCTTTTGTCGTCGCTGGGGCGTTGAGGCTGGCGTACGATCTCGGGCTGTTTGCCTTGTTCATCAACATCAAGTTGCATAAGCATGAGGCGACTGTTGAGGCCGATGAGGTGCCGGAAGGGAGATCGGCGGAGGGAGTGAGGGAACAATCGGGGCCATGATAAGAGTAACGTTAGATGGCAATGATTTTAATGAAGGCATGTGAAATGATGATGCGGATATTCTACGATTAGAGTTGAGTAACGAAAAGACATGGCCCTGGCGAAGGTTCATATCCAACTTCTATTAGTGGGGTTGGATCCAAAATCGACAACCGAAAAGAAGTGCTCATTCCTGGGACTCAGGGGAAGGAAAACTATGGGCTGCGAACGAGGAAAAAGTCGAGGACGAAACGCGATTTGAACGCGTGACCTACCGGACTGCAGCCGGTTGCTCTACCCCTGAGCTATCCGTCCTGCTGCACTGATGACTTTTGTGGGCCAGAACAAGACCTGTGTAGCTGAGCGGCTGGGAGAGCGTCTTGATCGCCAACGCCGAAGAGTCTTTAGGCTAAGATGCATGCAGTTTCAGACAAGTGCCCTCAACTGCCTGTAACCGTTCCTGAGTTAAAAGCGATACCGCGAAAAGACTGATCCTAAGAGGAGAAGATACACGTTTGTCACCATAAACTAACCGGATCCCGCGAGTTCAAGGCACTCGTTATCATGAGATTCACTTGCGCCGCGGATAACGTTGCTGAATCCAACAGCCCAGCATTCTTAAACTGGTTTATATATCATACAATATACAGCCCCCGTCTTCCCATGAAACGCGCATTAAGTCTGTACAATCCAGTCCAGCCGGTGTATATGCAATCATCCACTCGGCCTCCTTCTGCGCAGCCTAGTGATATGCAAAACGCCCCAAGAAGTCATAAAGTCCATGTAAATCACCTGAACCATCCAAAACCCAATTCCGAAAGCAACCCGTTGCCGAATCAAACAACTTCACCGCCAGCGCCTCGCTGAAATGGACCGTGATAAAAAAGCGTTAAGACGAAATGCATATAGAGGAAGGGAAGAGATAAATGAGCCAGCATCAGGTAGCATTCCCGCCGTCTTCCCCCTTGCCCAGAGGCAACACTAGGGGATCACCCAATGAACACCGAACCGAGGTATCCAATGCTGATTGGAGTCGATAAACGTGAGCCCCATGGACTGAATACGACCCCAAATGCCGGACGGGTGGCGGTAGTGGCGGGGTTGGCGGCGCATCGTTCTAGGGGAGGAAAAAAGGGAAAACGAAGAGAAATGATAAGAGAATCAGAAGATGCTTATAATATGTAATGAGGCAACACCGAAAAGAGACATCGACCAGGCACAGACGCGATCGGGTGATCACACGAGAAGATCGCGAGTTCGCATGGAGGACTCCGACTGGGAATCAAGGCCTTGCCACGTCGCAGTCGCCGCCCACTTTCACTGGCCCATCCCAGTAAAAGTCAAATCAAAAGGCAGATCCGCCACATCCCCGTGGTTCGCCTGCATAGCCACAGCGGGAGACAGAAGGCTCTGCTGCCCATAGACGCCGACGCCGGCGTCCGTGATGGTGGCGCTCGAGGACACCGGCGAGGTGTACCCGTTGCCGGTGCCGTTGCCGTCGAAGCTCACCCCGGGTCCTATCCCCTGCTGGATGCTGAGCCCCGCGTTGGCGTAGTCAAACCCGGACGGCGGCGAAGCGGCGGCGGGGAGGCCGCCTTGCAGGGGCGGCGCCGGGAACGAGTACATTCCGGACGGAGGAGGCTGCGAGTCGAACGCGCCCTGGAACGGGATGTCGATGCCCTGGCTGTGCAAGCCCGCGCTGATGTTGGCGAAGGCGGCCGTCGCCATGTCGAAGCCGTCCGGGCTCATGGCTGTGGTGGGGAACGCTGCTGCTTGCGAGGGGTATTGAAGGTCGGGAAACCCGGTCTCAAACTCCTCGGCCTCCGCGGCGCCGACCGACTCGGTGTCGTCGCCGGCCTCGTCCCCGTAGACCTGCACGACCTTCGACCGCATCCATTTCTTCAGCTCGTCCATGGGCGGCCAGTCGCCCCCGCCAATCCCCCCACGCTTTTCCTTCTCCTCGTCCGCCTTGCTCGCCCCGTTCTTGGCGCCCTTGCGCGGCTTGACATTGAAGTGCGTGCGGCGGAGATGTGCAGCGGCGTTGTAGTAGGCGCCATAGTACTTGCCCTGCGAGCACTGCTTGCAGTCCTTGAGCGGCTTGACGATCTGGACGGTGATCGGTTCGTCGTTGCCTCTGCGCTCGCCCTCCGCCGCTGGGACGCTGGGATCGCAGCAGAACCATTTGAGGACCTTTGCCTGGTGCTTTGCGTCGTGGTGCCGTTTCAGCTCGTGTTCACCGCGGAAGCCGTCCGGGTGGTCGTCGCAGAGGCCGCACATGACCTTGGGATGCTTGGGCCGCTCGTATTTGGTCTTGGTGATGATGGCCTTTCCGTCGTTCGCGGAGCTGTTGGCGGGATCGGCGGATTCCTGCTTGGCCGCGCTGGCGGCCGGCTTCGGCTGAAGATGGCGAGACTTTGCAGCGTGGTTCTGCCGAGCAAGCGCTTCTTTTGCACGGTGTTGCAATGACGAGTTTGACTTGACACTGTCTTTGGACACGGATCGCTCCATGGTGAGGTGTTGGTTCAAGAAGGAGCTGCCGAGGTCGCGAGACGGCAGGCCGGCAGAAGAGGTCGTGGACTGGATGCTTGACTGCGACAGGGACGGCCTCATCGGGTGCTGGTGCTGATATTGAGACAGCACCGAATCCACTGGAGCAGACGAGGGATAGCCGTGTGAGAATGGGCCGGCTGCCATTGCCGTTGCAGTTCCTGGCAGCGGCGGGTAGGCGGCGGCAGCGATGGGGCTTGGTCGAAGTCCATCCGGACGCACAGGGCTTTGCGCCGACTGTTGGGATTGGATTCGAACCATCTCGCTGAACTGGCCGGAGAGGGAGGCGTTGTCGTTCAGGGAGCTGTTGCATCTTGACATAGGAGCCGTGTCCAGCGTCGGCCCCGAGGTCAGCGATCCGCAGACAGAGGGGACGCTGGCGCTCGCGTATGGTTGCGGACCGATGTTGATGGGAGAAACGGGCGCGAACAGCTGGTCATCAGGCATCGACATCAACTCTTCAAACGGAATCTCGCGGCCGAGTCCACCGAATTGTGGATGCCCAGGGAGGAGGGAGCCGTCCGAAATAGCAGTGTCCATGGGGCTTTGGAACTGGTTCTGGTTGAAGTTGTGGTAGTCGCCCAAGATGACTGGGGTGGCGGTTGGGAGACTCTTTCGTGGAACCGGAGGGGTGATAGGACAAGGCCCCCTGGCGGTGAAGGGATTCGGCTTGGGGCCAGAGCGCGAGAGGTTGTTCGACCTCGACCGCATCATGGGCGCTGTCGTCGAAGACACGGCATCATGTGCAGTCTTCGAGCGTTTCATGGGTGGAGGCCCCTCGTCCTGCGGCGGGGTGAGCATGAGCGAGACGGCCGGCACCTTCGGCGTCCTCTGGCGGAGCGGGATCCTACCTGTTGCCTCACCTGGACCTGGTTGAGCTGAGGCCAGGGGCCACTCGTGGCGCTGCGGGGCACTGCACTGGCCCTTGAGCAGCCATTGTCTCCGAGGGGAGGATGTGGTGGCGGCGGTATTTGGTGGCTTGGGGAGGCGCCATCTAGCCCCGGGATTGTGCAGGTCTGAGCTCTGTTGAGCTGTTGTATTAATTCGAGCTTCTCTCGCTCATTCTTCTCGAGCAGGGCCCTAAGTTGCTCGACTTCGCTGAGTTGGCTCATGCTGTGGAGGAGACAAAGTGAGGCGAGTGACTAAGGCGAGTGATGGCGAGGGGCAGATAGATATTTGGGTTAAAGACCCCGGACCGGGACCGCTTGTCGAAGGTTGCTTGGGTCCCTCGGCGTCGGACCCCTATCAAGCAGCGACGTGGATGGACTGAATGGAAGTCTGCTTGCACGGGGCAAGCTAACAGAGTAGAATCGGGATCGCAAACAAAGGAAGGAGGAGAAAGGGATTGGGCACGCTGGCGGCGAGCAAATGATATTTAATCCAGTTGAGTCGGCGAGGCTTCGGACATGCAGCAGACGCTCGGCAGAGCCACCGTCGAATGGAAGCTAGAACTGGGCCTGCCCACAAGAGACAGCGACTCGGAATTATCAGGTCGAGATGCAAGCTGCACGCCGGGTCAGGAATCTCAGGATGGTGGGTATGATCGGTGGGAGACCTGGGGAAAAAGACATGGGCCTGGAAGCGACTTGGTGTGGTGTGTGGTGCCCAGGCACGCTGGGAGTCTGGGGCAAAACCCACCCCAACCGAAGGAGAGAAGGTGACGACTTTCCAGCGTTGTCAGTGGAGGCCATCGGTGTGACGGACAGGGGTGATTCCGGGAGGCTCTCATTGCTGGATGCAACACAGCAACGGCACTGCCCACCGAAGCTGCAGCTCGATGTGTAAGCAGCTGTTCCCAAGGGTCCTCATGTAGAACGCTTAACTGCACAGTAAGGATGTGTCCTGGTGAGAGAGATGAAGAGAGATCGGCTTCCCCATCTGGCAAGTGAAGCCCCCACTTAGTTAATCGCAAGCCGAACTGTGATCTGCAAATGTTTCGATTCCGCCCAACGGGTGTCTTGAGCGTTTGGTCAATGCGTTGTTGGGCTTCGCACATGCATTCCTGATTGTTTCCCCCCACGATGACGGTGCATGGCTAAGGCACTATGCAGCAGCCAGAGTGCCCGGCTTTGGAGGAGATGCAGAGCTCCCGTCCCGCGGTGTCCACTGGACCATTGGCCGAGACTTTTTCGGCGGCTTGCAGCTTCGCTCGCCCGTGAAGAGTCAGATCCCTTAGGTTATGGCGCTTCACGGCGTCTCGCGGGGGACAGTTGAGCGCACAGTCAATGGGAGTTGAGCCGCGAGTGGGCGAAAATGACCCGGACGGGTCCAGCGGGCATGCATCTGCAACCAGTAAAGCTTGCGCTTGTATCAGAGTGCTCACGCGGGCACCTGCGCGGGATGTCGCCGCTCTGAAGCCGAGTGCATTGGCTACAGTTAATTGCGATCTCACGCCCAGAGCGATGGCGGCGGGCAGGATGTAATTTTGGGAAGGTATCCGTATGGTCCCCACAATCTTCATTCGCAGCTTCCGTTCGTTAAAACCTTCCGCTGTCAGTTCAGGACCAAGTACCTAAGGTACCTTCTTAGGGTACCGTACTGTGTATCCGTGCCCGGGCTCAATCCTGAACTCATACGACACACCGAACGTTTGATGGAAGCCTGCCTGGGCAGCAGTTGGCCTGAAGTGACAAGTTGACATCCAAGAATCGGGGCCCGGTCTCGTTCCCGTCACCTTCAATTCCCTCACGCAGAACTGAATCAGCCGCTGACGCATCCCAAAGCAATGGATTTCTTCTCTCGATCGTCCGCCAAGAGCCTCGAAGAGA